CCTCTGTGGGTGTCTCTGTGGCTGAGTGCCCCCTCGTGTCCCCTCACACAGCTTCTGTGGGTGTCCCTGTGGTGGGTGTCCCCTCAGCCCCTCTGTGGGTGCCCCCTGAGTGGGTGTCCCCTCATGTCCCCTCACAGCTCCTCCATAGGTGCCCCCCGGGTGGGTATCCCATCACATCCCCTCACATACCCTCTGTGGGTGCCCACTGGATGGGTTGTCCCCTCATGCAGCCCTTATGGGTGCCCTCCTGGCGAGTTTCCCTTCGTGTCCCCTCACACAGCCCCAGTGGGTGTCCCCTTATATCCCCTCACACCCTCTGCGGGTGTCCCCTGGTTCATGTCCCCTCATATTCCCCACTCATGCAGCCTCCAGGCACCTTGGGTGTCCCCTCACACCCTCCATGGGTGCCCCCTCAGAGCCTGCACCCCTGGGTGGGTGCTCCGGCCTGAGGCAGTGCTGAGGTGGGAAGGTTCATCACAATTCCACTGTAATTTTTGCTGTGTGACCACAATCCCCATGTGTTGTAACGAAGGCAGCTGCCTCTTTCATGAGAACTGTGGAAATAGGTTAATAGGAAATAAGTTGGGTTTTCTGTTAATGAAGCTGAGAGCTTAAGTGTGTTAATTGCATTTCTTCAAGATAATTAGGTATTCTGATTTCTGTCTTTTTGATCCTTAGCTGCTTATTACAAGGTAAAATGTTTTTAATTTCTTTTTGCCCTAGTGAATGTGTTGGAGGCTACTGTAGAAACTGTGTTCACTCACATGTTTCTGAAGGTTGAGGTTCTGACCCACATCATGTTGGGCTGCTTGTGAGACACCTCCCCAGTTAGTTCATGGCCAAATACACGAACGGTCAGGAGCACTGTGGTTTATTGGTGCACTTTGAGCAGAAGTCAGTCTAAACTACCTTCAGTTGACCAAAAAGTGGAAGTTAAAACAGCATGTGTTGTGTTGCTCCAGGTTCCATCCCAGGAGAGATGTACTTGATCACTACACTTAAAACTTTAATTCTGCAGGAACGATGTTTTGAAAGGAGTTGCCGCTAAGGAAAAGAAAATCACAAATGGGTGTCCAGAGCTTGGGTTAAAATGTATTCTGTTAACGCATTCTGCAGTGGAGAACTAGCAAAAGAAGTGGCAAAAGCATTATTAATGGTGTGTTCAGAGGTAGCCACTCTGCAAACGTGTAAGGCATGTTCAGGGTGACTCTGCCTTTGTTAATAAGATTTCAAGAATATTCTAGTCTACTAACACGATGGCAATAAAACTGCTTCCCAAGTACAGATCCCAGAATAATTTTGACAAAAACGTTTGTAGTGTTAAATATAACATTCTTTGTTGGAGTGCTGTGCTCTTTTTAAAAGTGATAAAGAATTGTCTTCCCTGGTTTTCTGTTATCTTATTCACAGAATCACAGAATCATAGGGCTTGGAAGAGATGCCAGGAGGTCATCTAGTCCAACCCCCAATGATCCTTCTGCAGGTTCACCTACGGAAACCTTGTTATGACATTTTTATTCTCAGTAACAAATAAATATACTAAGTTTTAAAGAGCTTAGAATCATTATTTCCTTAAAATATTTATTGTCAGTGAGTAATTTGAAACCAGAACTAGAGAATAATTGACAAGAGCAACAGATACTGTTTGGATCCCACCAAATGATGCTGCAGGTGAAACCTCAGCCCTTCATGGGACCACGTGGAAGTAGTGAACTCTTTGGGGTCTTGTCAGGCATTTTCTGGATGGCTTTTTTTCATTATTCCATGAAATGGGGCTTTATTCTGTTCGGGGTTTCTACTAGAATACAAAGAATAATTCATCATCTTCATCCTGTTTTTGCAAACTCTAAAGATTTGTATTTACCGAGAGCTTTTATCCTGCAGTGTGGCCAGAATGGTTGGTGTCTCGGGATTATAGTATGTTTCAGGAAGAAATAAGCTCCCTTTCCTTCTCTTTGAGCTGCCACAAGTCCCTCAGTTGTGCGTGTTTAATGCCAAGCCAGAACTAGTAAAAGCTGTCTCGGGCTAGTCTGTGAGTTCAGGCATCATGCTAACGCAGTTACTCTGCTCCTGGAATAACAGTTGGTTTGTGTTCCACCATCTCGGAGCATGGGCAAGCTTGCTTCACATCCGCCCATTATATACCATGTCGACACAGCCAACATTGTTTTTGTTGTAAAACTGAACAGCTGAGCTATGCATGGCGGGAGTCCTTTAAAAAAGGGCAATTATGCCAAAGGAAACACAGGGAACAGAATATTTTGCAGGGTTTTCCACTCCCACCAATTCCACTTCATTATTAAAGTTTCCCTTAAATTGTTCTTTCTCTCTCGTGGCAAAGTTCATTGCAAAAATATTAAGTCAGTGTTAGTGCAGAAGGGGTTTGCACAAGCCCGTGCACTGAAGTATCGTCAGAGTGATTCTTTGTGGGTCTTGACAGTACGTGGTTACTTAGGAGCATATACAAAAGAGAGGGTGACCTTCAATGAAAAGGGCAGGAAGAGTTTCGGAAGTGAACATAATTACCTGAATTGGGTTATGGTTGTGCCAGAAAATACTGAAAACCACAAATGATGAGTGCTTTGTCTTAGCCTTAATGACAGCAGTGACTGATTTACCCATTGAGAGTGATGTTGAGAAGTAGCTCTTGTGATTATCTGGCACAGTAAGTCTGGGTGTTAATAATTAACAACTTATGTTACCAGTGTTATTACCTGGAACTTTTAGAAGGTAGCTGCAGAATAAAAAATATTTTCTTCTTTTTTTTTTTTTTTTTTTTAATTGTAGGATGGAAGAGAGACCAGTCTGAAAAACTGTTCCGTTGTGGACCTTGCTGTTGTCTGCTAGAATGTTCCTTATGAATGCTTCTCCTTTGGTAGCTCTTCAGACAAAATGGGAGTCCTTTGGACCAGCAAGGAATTGTAGATACCCCGTTTGCTTCTCTGAATCTGAAGGGGACGTCACCAGAACTTCTGTAAGTGCAAAAGTTCAGATGATCATAAACAACCTGCAAAGTCAAGAGTCTCCCCTGGGTATGAACAATGAGTATGACTGTATTACACAGAAGAAACAAAAGGGAGAAAAGGGCACTAGTAACAGAGTCACATCTAGCACCACATTGCTACAGGAGCATCCTCAGTATACCAAGTGTGGTTGCCCTGCTGATTCAGACACTGAAGTGGAAGAGAACGTGAGGTTTGGGACTCTCTTGCTTGATTCCGATAGCGACGATTCTGTTGACCGAGGTATAGAGGAAGCCATTCAAGAGTACTTGAAAGCAAAAAGCAAAAGTGACCAGTCCTTGCAAAGGAATGCAGAGTGTTCTGAAAATATAAACAGAGACAAAAGGTTTAAGAGAGAATTCTCCCAGAACAAAATGGCTAGTAACCTTCTCCCTGTGAAATTTAAAGCTGAGATGCTCTCTGAAGAGTACCTGTCTGACCACCTGGGGATCAGTAAAAGGCTACAGCCTGCTTCCCCTCAGAGCATCAGTAGCGATGACTCTTTTGAACAGAGCATACAAGCTGAAATAGTGCAGTTCCTGAATGAGAAGAAGCAGCAAGAAATTAGTAAATGTGTAATTGGGGAGGATAAGAAAGATTCCCATGTGAGAGCTATCCTAAAATGCAACAAAGAATCAACAAACCAAACAAACTGTGGTGCTATAAAGCAAGATTGTAATGCGCTCCTCTTGAGACACCCTCCCAAGCTACAGAAAACCAGCACACAGTCCAAGTGTTTGCAGTCTAAAATCCAAGAGCCGCCTCATGATTTCAGCCAAGTGAAGCAAACGTATCTAGAAATGGCCCCTGCCAGCCAGCCCTGGTTAGTGGAGCAAAATGAAGAAAGTGGAGCTAATTACTGGGAGACGAGGGGAGCGCTTAAGAACGACAGCATGCACGCATCTGACTCGAGTAGCGATGATGGCATTGAAGAAGCCATCCAGCTTTATCAGCTGGAGAAAATCAGGAAGGAGGCAGGTCATGCACCAGACTGTGTCCCTTTGGAGAGACAACAGTTTGATACAAAGGGCATGGCGGACCTTTCTGCGAGCGCGATGATTAGCTCGACAAAAAGTGCCTCACCAGAAATCCATAAAAGCCCCATAAGCAACAAGAGAAAGGAAGTTAATTCAAAGTCAACAGAATTCAAAAGCACCAGCAATGAATTTAACAAGCTGTTAAAACCACTGAAAAAAGCCAGGCATTTTGCACCTCCAGAAAACAAGATTGCTGCTTGTGAGCTCACTTTGCAGGCCTCTTGCAGAGCAGACACATCTGCAGAACTCATGTGTGCGGAAGCTATCCTTGATATTTCCAAAACAATCATGCCATCCCAAATGGGAAATGACAACAAATCACTTGCTGCAGACTCCTTCTTTTCTCCCCAGTTTCTCTCATCCTCTCATTGTGAAAGTGACAGCAGCCTCGTGGACAGCGATGATAGTATAGAGCAAGAAATCAGGGCCTTTCTGGCTCTGAAAGCACAGTCAGAAAACCTTGGAACAAAGCCTCCCAGCCTGTCACACTCAATCCAGATGCCTTTGCCTTCTGATCAGAACAGCTTCACTGGTACCCTTGAGCCTTCTCTTCCCAAAACACTGAAGCTATCACTGAGTCGTAAAAGGAGACTTAAAAGGGAAGGCAGAATAGCAAAACAAGGTGCATCAAAAACACCTGAACAGCTGGAGACGGGACTTTTCCAGCCAGGCAACTATTCAGAATTTCCCATGCTCCAAGAGGCCTGTGCCCTGAGTAGTCCTGCAGAGCTCTGTGATGCTCAAAGGCTCAGTAGCAAAGAGACTAAGCAGCAGCAGCTAATGTCTTCTGAATTATCCGGATCTGTTGGCAGATGTGTGGCCTTCGACTCGGTAAACCCTTTTATGGAGGTTCAGAGTAGCACAAGAAAGCTTATGAAAAATACCATGCAAACTCAAGAGAGGGATGGTTCGGATGATGAGAGCAGTTCTCTGGATAGTGATGAGGACCTTGATAGTGCTATCAAGGACCTTTTACGGTCTAAAAGAAAATTAAAGAAGAAGTCCAAAGACCAGAAATCTCAGTGCAAGAAGAAAGTCAAATTTAGCGAGACGGAAACTCAGCTGCTAGATGAATTTAGTAGCCTCCAACAGAATGAGTGGAAATGTAAAACTCCCGTGCTACAGAAAAGCTGCCTCTCAAAACCTAGAAAAGCTGTGAAAGAGAACACAATCAGAAATCCTCCAGACAACACAAACATCAAACTTACCAATGTAAAACCAGAAACCATGATGAACTTGGAGTTTAACTTACAGCTTAAAAAAGGCTGTAAACCTAAACCAGTTTCAAACCAGAATAACCTGCAGGTGGCTAAAAATAAAAAATGTACTTTCACAGCTGCATCAGACGCTGACGACAGCAGTTCAGTGGACAGCGACGACAGCATCGAACAAGAAATTAGGAGGTTTTTGGCAGAAAAGGCTAAAGACTCTGCAAGCAATCCAGAGATACAAAAAGATGATGCAACTCTGGACCTATTGAGTGTGAGCAAACAAACTGCTAATAAAGGAAAAGCAAAGCAACAGCCAGTTGAAAATGAGATTGACCTCATGCTGGGTCAAAGTAAAAAGACTGAGGTATCTCAGCAAACTGATGAGTTGAAGAACTCTCAGAGAACAGAAGGGAAAAGTGCAATGTTACGTGGCGGTGGGAAATCTCCTTCCTCTGCAGAGAACGTTAATCTTCTTACTACTGGTCAGTCAAAAGCTAAGCAAGGAGTAGGGGTTAAAGGTGTTGCTGGTGGTGAGTTATCTGGGAACACAGCAGGTAAAAAGGATGTCCCTAATGCAGAGCCCATGCAGAAAACACTTTCACCTAAAACCAGCAAAACTGAAGGTTGTAAAGTACAAAAAGTAATTAATGCAAAGTCTAGATCTAAAAGAAAGAATACCTTTCACCTAAAAATTTCAAGTAAATTTATTGCAGGTCTAAAATATGCTCGGGACAGGAAGAAATCCATGCTTTTGAACAAAAGGCAGAAAGCAGAACATTTACTCACCCAGAGCAGGGCGTTAGGAATAGAAGTAGATTCCCAGGATCCAGATGTACTTAACCAGGGAAGAGGAGCCTCCTCGCCAAAAGGCGAGTTGAGTGGGGAGAGTATGACAGCAATAAAAGAATCCAGCTCTTCTCAGAAGCTCACTGTGGAAGTATCAAGTCCCCACGTAGCAGAAACCTGTGAAAAGCTGGAGGCTGCTCCTTTGTATATCAAAGAGGAAGCAGAGGGTTGCAAAAAAGCGAACGCTTCAGAAGACCAGTCAGATTCGCGTTCCAGTCTCCCCTTGCAGGAACGGAGTGTGGCTGCAGTAAAAGTAGATAAAGATGGCAGAGGAGCATCCAAAGCTGAGAACACAGAGATGTGGATGAAGGAAGGAGATATTCCTAAAGACAGCTGGGCTGATTCAAATTTAGATCCTCCACGCCCTGGACACAGTATGGCAGCGGTAAAAGCAGATGAAGTTGGCAGAGAGACATCTCAGCAGAGAGTATATGCATGCAGTAAGGGAGAGAACAACCAGCAGGACAGGAGGGCAGATCCAAGTTTAGGTTGCCCACTGCAGGAATTAAATGTGACAGCAGTAGCAGTGGATAAAACTAGTGGAGGAGCATGTACAAATAACAGTATGCAGATGTGCATTAAGAAGGAAAAAGTTATCTGCCAGGACAGCGACAGGCAGGAAGAAATTCAGGTAGCCGGCTCCAGTTTGGAAGGAAACATACCTGTCCTGCAGAATAGGGAAACTGCTTGTGAAGTGGACCAAGGGCAGGAAGTTTTAGACAAAACCTGTGTAAAATTTACTGATCTACCTTCAGGGGACTGCCCAGATTCCCCCTTGAAAAAAAAGGTTTCAAATATGTAAGTACACCTTTTTTTACAGTAACAGTCTTTTTAGAAAATAACTATCATTGTAATTACCTTGATAAAACTTGAGACATTAAAGGAGAGACAGCGGGAGATGCCGATTCCTGTATATCATACACACACTAATGTGAAAAATGCTTCTATTTAACAGGGATATCATGGATAAACATACATAGTTTTTGTAGAATTTTGTAAATTATTTAAAGTGCTCTAAGGAAATATTTTTATAATGATTTTTAGGGCTAGCATTACTACAGGGTGCTGTAGTTACTGTACATAAGAACATACTGGCTACTCACACTTTAAATTATGAGGCCTCTAATCCTATATCAAAAGGAAACCTGTTTGCACGCAGAATATATTTGGCAGTCTGTTAAAAGATCCTAGGAAAACACAGCGTTTGATAGCGATGCTGTGCTTTTGAAGTAGATTATCTGACATCTGTTCATATTCAAGCTGCCTTAGAACAACCCTATGTAGTGGTTTTATGCTGGGGTCTCGGCGTTCCCTCCCCGAGGAATGTTGGGTGAGTTCAGTAAGCAGAACTCCAGCAAAGTCAGCGCAGCTGTAGGTGTGGAGATCCATCCTTGAAGATAGAAATGCAAATTCAGGTAAATAAAGTGGTTCATTCTGTCAGCACATCCTGTGTAAAGTGATCTCAGCAGCTGATGAAAGTACCTTTTGAATACTGGAAGCCTCCCGCTAGCGGATGATGGAAAGCACAATTGCAGTTCAAGAAAAGTGAAGGAACGTGTCTGTTCAGACAACATGATTTCTGTGGATTTCACTAGATTTACGTACTGTTGCGCCTGCAAGGCTGAAACAATTCCTCATTATTCTGAAGTCTAATTTTAATGCTCAGCAGTTACCCAGAGATGACTTTTGGTTTCCTGAATGAACTTTCTTGAATTGAGTGCCCTTACTTTCCTTTTTCAAAAGTGATTTCTAAAACGTTGTATTTCTATGAACTTCTATTTTCATTTACAATTTTTGTGCAATAGAACAAAGCTAGATTTGCTGTAGGAGGTCCCTAATGTAAATGCCAAGGATATTTTCAGCACTGTTCTTTCATACTGGTAGTGCTTTCTCAGCCTTCATTTCCAGCAGCCAGAATAAAGCGATTTTTCACTACTATCTTTTTATTTGTACTAACTTTAAGTGAGATTGAAGTAGAACATTCATATCCCAAAAAAAACCCCCAACAACTTGATTTCACTGAAAAATCCAAAAAGTGTGAATTTAAGCTGTTGACTGGTTCTTTCCTTTTCATCTATGTGTAGTGAAGTCCTTTGAGTAGTTTGTTCTTACATCTTGTCCCTGAGAATTGATCCAGTATTCTCTTTATCTAGTCTTCTACACAATTTCTCTCAGACAAACTACCACTCAGTATCACTTTGTTTCTCAGTCACTTCCGCAGTCTTCCTGGAGGCTGGCCTTAATATTGCAGAATGGAGCAAAACCAGTCAAGAAGGGATCTAGTATCACATAGTATCCTCTGGTGTGGTGGCATTTGCAGAATATTGGCAAACTACAAGGTAGCATAGAATAGAACAGGTAACTGTGGCATGTAGAGAAATAAACAACATCATTTTTGTGGTTTTTATATTGTTGTACAGTTACATTTTAAACATGTTTATAGTGGTCACTTGACATTTCGTACTGTCCGGCGACCTTTTTATACTCCTTGAGTTGGTTGGTTTGTTTATAACAGATCAGTGTGTTAGGTCATCTAATTTTTGTGGTAGGATACCTTGGAGAAGTGGTTTTTTACTTGGCTCACGTGCCTGCAGTCCGTCTACACAAGCGTATAGTTTTGTCTGCCTTGATTCAGTTCCAGGATTTGGGCCTTTTGTTTGGAATAGGTAATTAGGCTGGTATTTTAAACCAGAAGTTTTCAGAGTACCTTGCTTTGAAAGGATTAAACTGTATACTTCATTTTAATAGAGATGATGGAAGCACTGTGTACTGTTTGTATAAAATAAGACGAATGTTTCTCCTTAAAGTTTTCAGTAAATCAACATTAAGACTTAAAAGGTGTCTTGTGCCCCTGTCGATGTGTCTGTGTTCTCAATATTACTTGTGAACTGATTCGCTTTCAGTTAACATGCAATTCCCATTACCTTGTGCTTTAAGTAAAACACGATTTCAAACAGCACTTTTTTTAAAACTTGATAAACTTGATTTGTATATAGGAAATGGTGTACATTGATAAGTTTATAATGTTGAATAAATGGGGTTCTGACCACGGACCGTGAAATCAGAGTGCTCCTATGGTGTGTGTCATCATCTTTAGTGAGTAGTATTTTTGTGTTATCTTTTTTTTTCCTTCCTGACTGTAGTCCAAAGATGTATTTTGCTTGTGCCAGTAATGTTTGTGAGTGAAGGATGTCAGACAATCGTGGTGTTTGTGTTAGCCAAACCTGGGAACAGGGTCCTGGTTCACCTGCTGCTCCTGCTTCTTGCCACCTATTGTCTTCAGCCACCCACCATCTGAGGCTGTGATCTCCTGAGTGACAATAGCGAGTGATTTCCTCCTGCCTGTCAAACAGGATCCAGATCTTTAAAGATGTGTCTTTTTAAGGGAAGGTTGTTCTTAATAACAAAGAATGGAGAAGGAGAATACACAAAGTACATACATAGGCAAAAAAAAGTCACGGGTATTCTGGGAGGGTGAGAATGGTGCTTGTCGTTTTAGCAAAACCCCAACAGCAGTTGTCTTTCCTGGTGTTTGTGGTCAGGAAGTGGAGTCTTTCCCTTTGCTTGCCCCTCTCCATTAGCAGCAAAAGGGGTTCCTTGTTTTTGAGGCAGAGTTTAGCAGGGAAGGTCTGTGATTCAGCTGCAAAACACTCAGTGTATCTCTAAGAGGCATCCTCTGTTAACAGCTTCTACATCATTCAGGATTAGCTTATGATCCTTTCTGCCCCACTGTGGAAGACTGGCAGCAGTGAGTCTGGGAGCCCTTGATGGTGCAGGGTAGGACGAATGTGCTTTCTTGTTCACACTGGGGACATTGTGACGCCCCATCCTGAGGTTCTCCTGTAAGACAAGGAGGCTCTGAGCTAGTCTTCAAGGAGGGAGGGAAGGAGGAAAGGAAGGAATAGTGTTGTGGGGTTTTTAATATGCAAACCAGCCTGTCACCCTTGGTGTGTACTGGTACGCTATGGGTATTCCCCCTCATCTCCAAGTTCTTCCAGACTTCCTTGGTGTCAGCAAGTGATTTTTCCAGACCTTGTCCTAGGGAAATGCTGACTTACCAAGAAGGAGCAAGTACTCACAGGGGATGTAATGCTAAATAATGCGCAGCAAACATTGGTGGCATTGATGCCACAGCTGTGAGAAGAGTGCCAGGGCTCTGTTGGCAGTCATTCTGGATCATTCTGGATGCAGTTCTCATCAGTCATTCAAAAAAGAGAATTCTGGTGTCTTGGAACAATAAGAAATCACTCTTAAAACATTACAGATTAAGGGTTGAACAGCAGCGGAGTAGAAAAATTAAATTGAGTGAGAGTAGTAAATTTTATTTATTTTTTTTTTCAGTCTTGGCACAAAAAATTTGTATGTTAAGTCATGCAACTCAGTATATTTTATTATGGCTACTGGTAAGTTACAGCATCCTGACTGCAACACCAGAGTTCTCAGATAGATCTGTGCTCACTCCAGACTTTGAAAATGGGTATATTGTTTTATTTTTATCACAGTGACTATTTTCCTGTGCTTCAGGACAGGCAGTCTTCAAAGATCTCCAGTGGACTGCAAGAACTACCTTAATTTTTTATAAGCAGTTCTTTGCTGCTATTTTAGGAACACGTGTTTTGACGTGTAGCTGCTTTTTATACAAGGAAGGAACACACCATCTCTGCCACCATTTCTTTTATTGATGTATAGGCTTTTTAATTTCTTAAACCTTAAAGAACTGTAGTTTGTCTTGGTTTGATAGTGCAGCCTTACATTATTTTATCTGCAAATGTGAAAACCTTGCTTTCAAAGTACAAAGTAGAAAAGAGACTGTTTCAGGTAGATTCTCTGTGGTAAAATGTGTCATCTTTAGGATGATATTTTGAATTTCAGCAGACCGTAGTGAAGGTGAATTGGATCACTTTACCCCAGCATATCTCAGGATAATGGTCTATACGAGTGTGATGTAAGGCACACTGAGTGCAAAACTGTTCAAAGGAACTAGCTTGAGTTTAAGAATAAAACAAAAAAAAGGAAGAAATTAAGGTAAGGAAGAAAAAAGGTGTGTGTTTGTAGATGAAGCATGGAAACAGGTGGAAAATATATGACAAAAGCCACTACATTTATATTTTTCAGAGGCAGTCTTATCCCAAAATTATTCCACCTACAGAAAAATCTGTGGGAGAAAAAAATATGTAAAATTGTCACAACTATTTGTATTAATTCTGCACTTTATGTTATTTTTCATTTCAGGAGAAGAAAGGGAAGTTATGAGAAGCTCAAGGTATTGTCTAGAGTCTAATAGAAGAATAGCAGTGAATGATAGACAGTTGCTTATTTATTTTCGTATGTTAAGTATTTAAAAAGTTAACTTTTCAGGATTGTTTCTGCTTAGGATATTGTATATTGGTGTGTTTTCAGCAAATACGAATTTAGCCGGCTGTTCTGTTTGAGATAACCAAGTCCATTGCAGTGAAAAGTGGAATTGTTTGGTAGGTGTGATTAAAATTTTGTTGTTGGGGCCAGGAACATGTAGCTACATGAGGGTTTAAATGTTTTAAAGAAGCACAAGTACAGGCCTGCTTAGCTTTGGACTTTAGATTTTTGCTTAGTGATATTATTAACTAAACAGAATACCTCTACCTTGCAAGTATTTTAAAATATATTGTCTTGTCATGCTTCATATGCAGTTTATAAGACTATTTAAAAATTATACTAATAGGGAATATTTCTAACATGAAGAATATAATTTGCAGTAGTACCTGGACATACTATTACACTAATTTTAAATATTTATTTATTTATTTATTTTAGAAAACTGCTAGAATAGTGTTATGTGCATTTTTAATATATACTATGACTATATTATGCCAGTAAGGTAGGACCATTTCTCACCCATAAACAGGCAGACTAGTTTCTCTTCAAGACTCGTTTTTTAAGCAAAATATGCTGAGGTTTTAGTATAGTTACTGTCTAAATGATGCAGTTTCACTGGCTGTGTAACTAGAGTTGTTACAATAAAACTTAAGAAAATATTTTCTTTTTTATTTTGTCTTTATTTGAATAATTTCTTAAAACATTGTAGTATTGAGAGGTAAAAAAGATGAACATGCATCCAAAGGCTCAGTGAATACCTCTGGAAAGCATGCAGTGTGGTTATTCATTAAGTAGTACAGAAAACGTGTAAAAATCTAAATTTTTAATGATAGGTGGTACCTGAGCCAAGAGTTTAAAGGATCATTAGTGACAGATAAAAGGTTAAGGGAATATATATCTGTAATGTATATTGTTCTATATTGTATATTGTTCTAACTATATGCTGCCTATAAATTAAGTAAAATGGTTCATATCAGCTATTTAACTGGCATTTAATCACATTAAATCTTTATAAATTAAGATGATATTCCTAATATTCATTCTGTAAAGTAGTTATTTTCATCTCGTACCAAAGTGACTGTATGTGTTTTTCCAAACAAATTACTAAACTTTTGTTTTCATAACACAGATTTAAACTGCTTTTCCCCCAGAGCTAAATTTGTGCTTTAACTAGGTAGGAGTCCTGTTAAAAAACCCCATACGTACAAGAGTTTGGAATTGAGGGGTTTATATTTAGAAATGTGCTGCTACCTTTAACCTGCTGATTTTCATCACACTGTAATACCGAGTCTCACATTACCAAGCTGAAAGATTTTTTTGCTTGGGTTATGTTGGTTGTTTTTTGGGGTTTTTTTTAATCTAGGGAGCCAGCAGTAAACTGAAGTGGCTTCACACCGTTGCGGTTACTGCTGCGGCTCTAGCAGTATGACGGGCCACTTGGGTTGTAGCTGGGATGGAAGTTGAGGCGGTCATAGGCGGTGATGAAGTTGTCTGGGCCGGTGACGTAGCTCTTCTCCAGGGAGGTGTTGAGCCCGTTATCTCTGTACATGCCACACTGTGCCAGAGTCTTGGAAAACACGTGCGAGGTGACGTGGAAGGAGGTCTGTGAGAGCAAGAAAAGGGGAGTTCGGTGTTGGAATGCCAACATCCCCTGCCATGTGCAGAAGTTTGGATGCAATTATGAGTGCTTTATCTTCATCCGCTTCGGGGAGTTCATCGCCCGGGGATGGTGCAGAGGCCAGAACTTTGTGTCGATGTCTCTGAAACCCCCAGCCCAAGCCCCGGAGGTGCCTCCATC